GCGCTTTCCGGCCGTTTCTCGTCGTACCTCCACGACCTGGGAAGTGATGATGACGACGGCAGTAATTTAATTCCGTCCAAACAGACAAAGATTTAGCGAAATGAGTTTTCGTGATTTAACATCAAAGTGCTATTTTCTTTTCCAAAGTGTACGCCTTACATTTTTGTTTTCTGAGCAACGCGTAAATCAGAGTGTATTTCGGAAACAGCAGGTGTTCCAGACATTTTGCTTTTGCTGTGTACACTTGCTGTTAGAAACACTGATCCCATGCAAAAGCAAGTAGGGCGAAAGGATTAATCAAATGTACTATTGACTCAAGGTGTGTTTAATCTCTTCTAGATGTCGTTAGCTGACGATTGTATTTCTTTGTTTTACCTTTTGAGATTTTCAATTTCTAAATCTTGAGTAGTGCATTCAAGATTTGAAAATTGTTAACGTCAATAGAAATGTATATTCATATGGTGCAAGAAACTGGTCGAAGCATATTCTTCTAGAAATACTGATAGGAAAAAAGAACGCTTGGAAAGTGAAGAATGAACCGCTTTAAACTCATACAAACTAATATCGAAAGTAATTTAAATTAGAAATAGAAATTACAGAACAGATTTAATATCTTTCCCTAAACTTTTCCATAAAATAAGAAATTAGTCTTCATCATATTCATAGATTTCGATTTATGATTATTATATTTTGTAGTTTGGTTTGAAAATAAAAAATTCTTTTTACGTATGAAGGATCATTATTAGTCAAGGTGATTGTTATTCGTGCTTAGATGCATGTAATCAGATCATTCTGTTTTGTAACTCATCAATTTACATAACATTCTAAATAAAAATGACTTTTTATTTATTTGACTAAGCATAAACACTCTATCTTAAAGAAAGGATATGTGACTTGCCGTAATTTTGATGCCAATATAAAGTTTGATGAAGCGACGGAAAAACTCAAATTTTTTACTGTATGCTAATTTTAAAATTTTTACACGATGCATAAAATTATGCTTTTCAATGTCTATCTTGTACAAAGGTTTCATAGCGTTGATGCTCAATCCTTAGCTATTTCATTCAGATGTTGGAAATTATTTTTTGAATATGAAAATAAGTAAACAGTAGTATTTTTGTTCAAATATCAAACATGAATTGTTCTTTACTGGTCACTCAGCTCTTGCCTCTATACTTTTACGTTAGTCGGGCGGTTGCATAGTTTATCATCCCAGTATTAAGTTCCGTTGCGGGCTTTCTTCTAAAAACGATTATAAGTAATCGCTATAAACTGAAAGAAAGAACTTAATCAGTGACAAACTCATTCTTTATACGATATATTGTGTTGTGTTACTGCATTTTGATACGCATCAGTTTCACTAAGTAAATCATGTGGATTGTGAATTATCGATCATTCTATAGCAGATCAATGCCAATCATAATCCATCGTATTACATTCAGACAAGAATAATTTTCTAATCAGTATCAAAGTAAATCTATTCAAATGTTATTGTAAATTTAATAAAAACTGAAGCAATCATGTCATGCATGTACATATTTTGATGTCTTGTATTTTATCTAGTTTCAATATTCCCTTCGTGATAATTTTAAAAACATAATACTATTGAACGTGACTATGGCAAAATTACTTCTTCAACGTCTCTTAAGTGCTGACAAAATATGGTCGTGTTCCTCACTGAAATCATTTTTCAACGGTGACCACATTTTTCGTTGACTTTCGTGCAGCGTCTATGTTTGATTATAAGAGTAAAGTTCATATTCATTAAGTAGTTAATATCATCTAGAAAAAAAAGTATTAATGAACTAGAAGAATTTACTGAACTCTTTTACCTTTCAATCGAGCTTAATGCTTCAAATATTGATATCATGATTTTGACAAACTTTTCAACAACAATTCTCTAGTGAATCTCATATTTCGTCTGATACGAAGTACTCAATATATTTAGATTAGTATTTATTTTCAACAATCGATCTTTATTTCATCAATGTAAATTAGTAAAGAAACAATACGGAAAAAAACAAAATTTTCTAGCGTCGTAGATACTCATCGATTTTACCGCCAGCTTCTAATTTACGTTCGATTTCAATTAATTTTGCTACACCATCAAGAACATGCTGAATAATTTCAATCTACAAGTCAAACATAGAAAAATTCATTTTATAAAATAAAATAAATTGAACAAACTTCAGTTTTTCCTATTCGATCACGATTTGATATATCAATACAATCTTTAAATCCTTCTGCATCAGGATCCATAATTTCCTCCATTGTTACTTTAAGATCTTTAATAATTGTTGGTAAACGAAAATCTTTTGTCAAGAGCGGTAGTTTTATATAAACATTAATTTTTAATCCAGTACCAATATTAGCTGGACATGTTGTTAAATATCCAAAATGATCATCATGTGCAAATGATGCACCTTCATCTTTCATCGCATTTTCTAACTAAATAAATATAAAAAATATGAATTTAAAAACAATACATACAATTGTTTTCGTGTAATTACTAAAGAAATTCCTTGAAAAAAATTTGTTATAACTGAACGGAGGCTATTTTTCGCGTTATTCGTACTCCAACTAATAAATCTTAAATGATCTTTTTGATTAATCCAAGCAAATATATTTTTATCGTTGTTAACATAAAGAGCTCGACCGTCAGGCCAATCTCGTGCAACACCAGAACTAAGCCAACTCATTGTTTGGGGTTTATATAAAAAAACACCATCCTAAATAATAATAAAATAAAAGGAATCATATTTCATTTTGTTAAACTACAACAGCTAATCAATTTGAACCATGCCTACAATAAAAATAACTGATCTAAATCATGTCTTATACAATATCTAGTAAAAAATTATAATATTAACAAGGAAATTGTTCGTAATCCAGCAGTATGACGTTTCATATATAGAGATAACAGAACAAATCATTGTAACATAGTTGTTAAAAGTATGTCTTCACTAGACCCAATGTGAGAAAAAAATCGATTTTTTTTATTGATGTCTGAATTGTAAAATAGTGAGTTTTGTTTAATTTGAGATAGATTAGATAATTGAACAAGACTCTACTAAGTTTCGTTATTTGTAGGAAATAGATAATTTTTGATCGACAAGATAACAATCAAAATTGATTTACGCAGCATCGTTACTATTGCATTATTAGAGTATTCCTACGATAATTAAATCAACGAAGTATTTATTTAACAACTATTTTTAAGTATATAATTATAATTTGTGAGTCAATCTTTCATTTCGTAATAGATTATACTGATAACTTGTTACGATTTACGGTCAAAACTAAGCAATATTTTCCCAATTTTGGTAATAATCTTTGTTTCTACTGTTGATGTTATTAGCTATAACTAGGGTTCAGCATCCTACATTTCAATGATTGCTGGTATGCGAATGATTATATATATATATATGGGGAAAATAGTATTTGTTCTGAAGGGAGTAAGATCGGAACAGAATTGTTTCTGTTTTGTTCTAAGCGAGAATAATCCTATTTACGTTCATCTAAGATATTCGTCGCTTATCATATTCTAACGAATCATATGTTGATAATAGATATCTATCTGTATAATGATCCTTGCGTCGACTCATGTATCTATTTTGGCTCGTTAACTTCTCCTACATACTTGTGCTTACATTGGCTAAACGTTTTTGAATTTCTTCATCTATCATCGATAGACGATAATAGTTTCCATTGAATTCATTATTTGTTTGAGTAAACTGTTGAAATACTTTATTGAATTTTCCTTCGACACGGCGACGTTCAGCTCGCGTTGAAAATGTTGGAAATGTAAAACCGGAAAGATTACGTGTTGCGCGAATACGTGATGATAGAATGTATTTATTTATATCAAACGAATTATCGGATTCGAAAGGATATTTAAGTTTAGAAGTATCGACATCATGATATTGACGTGAATCTGGTCCATGATCATATCGTGTTCGAATTAATGGATCGAATAGATCACGAAACATCTATTGTTGTAGGTGAAATTGTTCAATTACATTCAAGATAAATACAATAATTTACTTTGTAAGACTCTTCATCGCCAGCAGACACACCAAAATATTGACGACTAGGTACACTGGGATTGTCGACACCAACTTGTATAGCATCATCAATAGTATATCCCGATGGTGTAATACGATCACGAAGTTTAGCATACATCTATTAAATTAACTCGCTTTCTTTTTATTTCTTATGCAGACAACGAATTCAGTTCCTAACCTGTGGTGTCAGTTGGCGTGCCATTAAATTTGCATGTTTGGTTAATTCAGGATATTCTGCAGATGCAGAATAACGTTTTAAATGTAGACTGTAAGAACTAGCGTAGTGACGATGATGATACTGATACCATAGCAAACCAGCAGCACTGAGGCCAACTGATGAAGTAAGAACAGCTACTTGCCACTTTTTTCGATTAGTACCAGAATGAAGAAACAAACGAAAGAAACTTGAATAGTTAGACATCTAAAACAATATTTTTATTTAAAAAATTCTTGTTATTGTATCCTAGAACGTTCTATGTCATTCGAATTATAATAAAGAGACTATTTATTTAATAGAATAGAGAAAGAAATTCATGGCACTGTTTTCTATGTGCAGCGCTATATATTAGTATAAATATAAGTATGACTATCTTGTTGAATAGTTATGCTTAATTGTTTTTCGATATATAAATATATATTCGAATTAATCAGAATTCCAGGCAATCTCAATATAAAAATTAATTCATGGAAGATCTCCATGAACTAACATTCTAATTAATAAATTAGTCGAATTGTAGAATTATTCGAAAGATGTCAGACGAAATAGATACAGTGCATAGACTCTGAAGTTTTTCAAATCAACTTAAAAACCAATCCTACGTTTTCTTAAATCTCTTATAATTAACAAACAAAACTCGATTAGAATTACTACCAATGACATTAATTCTACATCCTTACTGATTGTTTGCTTTCGTCTTGCATGGTTCATCTTGAAATTTCAACCGATAATGTTCACTATGAAAATCGTTTATTTTTGTTAGAGTAATTGAGAGTGACCACCATAGTTTAGCGATTGATTCATACATTTGGTGACTACGGAAATCAGTTTTACAGCTGCAAAGCATTTTATATAACAATTACATTCCCGATTAGTTACGAAAATATTTGGCAAACTCGATCTGACATTTCCAAGTGTAACATAAGGGCTTACGTTTTTGACAGATCTCAATCTCGAAGCGAGACAAAAATTATTATTGCCTTCGAAAATTTTCACTGCATATATGATTATTAAGATAAATCGTTTTTCGTGTTCTCCTTAACTTTCGTGGTTATCAAAAAAAGATGAAGAAAATTAATATGAACGAACAATGTTGGAGGAGCAATTATTTGAGCATAATGTATTTATCAATTCTGGTTATCGAGTTAACAAATAATGTTTTTTTTCTTCTTAAGTTCAATATATAAAGATGAGCATCGAAAATTAACTTGTCTAATATTTATAGAAATAAAGTAGAAAAACACTCATTCACTGGTTTTTCAATATTCGTATGAGCTTTGTTGATTCAGTAACAGTTTTTATTTTGCAGAAGATTATGAACAGTATTACATTCAAATTAATCCGTAAAACAGCTTTATTCATAAAAGAATAATATGAAAATATCACAAAACGCTTGAGTAGTATTTTGAGTTTAAACATTCGATTCTTTACGTAATGTTCCCCATTGGTCAGCTGTTTTCCTTGATGAATAAACAATCAAACGAGTTATGATCATTAGACCAAATATAATCGATCCAAATAAAAATAGACCAATTAATGTTAGAATAATGACACACATTATTTTTGTGATTGATTCATTTTGTTGTTGTTGCTGCTTAAAACTCGAAAGTAAAAATAATAAACAATAAGATAGTTAAAATTCAATAAGAACAAACCTATTTTAATATTAGCTTTTGAAATAAAAACTATGAAAAATGAATACAATATTTCCATGGTTAATGCGATGAACAATTGAAGGTTACTAGCTCTTTTTTTATTGATTCAAGTTGATAAATTTTACTCGAAAAGCGAGAAACTAGTTAAATTCATGATTTGAGATGCTATTTAGTTTCATATTTTGTCTGTGAAAACTTCTGTATAAAATTATTAAAAACATAGAGATGAATACATTTCTTCATATGTTGGTCGTGAAGAATGTTTTTTTAATAAACTCTATTATTTTACTGGATTTCACTATTCGATAGCAAACTAGAAATTTTCAACCTATATAAATTGTTTTTTTATGTCTCTACAAGCGATTTGAAATTTCAACAGAGAGAATGAGACATTCGAGAGTCTTTTAAGTCTTAAGAGTATCTCATCATGAACTCGAAATGAACCTGAATAAAAGTTGTCTATTCAGATATTTTCTTCCTTAGCCACATAATTATCTATGTCGTAGGCCAATCTCGGATTCAGGCCAATCCTGGATTGGCCTAGGCCATTCTAAGATCCGAGTTTGGACTAGTCCAATCTTGGATTCATGCAATTCTACTCAATAATATATCAATAACTTTTTACATAAACTTTGGATTTGAGTCATTTTTTGGAATCATGTTCAGATAACGTCGTTTTATGTATTACAAACATTCACGGAGAAGCTTACTTTAGACTCGAAAGTTTATTAACAATTTTTCATAAAACTTGTCCCGTAGAGAAATCTATTCATAACTCCTAATATTTTACTTGAATCTTTCCAAAGCCTATTGTACAAAGCAAATTGGCATCGTATGAACATGATTTAATAAAATGACTCAAATCCAAAGTTTATCTAAAAAGTTATTGATATATTAATGAATAGAATTGCATCAATCCAAGATTGGACTAGTCCAAAAACTCGGATCTTAGAATGGCCTAGGCCAATCCAGGATTGGCCTGAATCCGAGATTGGCCTACGACATCTATATCCATAAATCGATATTATGAAATATGAAATAGTTCTGGTTCCTAATGCTATAAGAACAATGCTTGAAATTTACTAGAATAATGGTTTAGATTGTAATAGATTTGTTGAAGTATTGGTTTCTATTGTGAGTTTAATCGTTCTAAATTTATGAAATCATGAAAAGTTTTCTAAAGAAAAAAATACTAACTAATAGTTACCTAAATATATTTGCTTTTTAATATAGGGTATGTGCTATTTCCTCGAAATTATTTTGGCTAAATTTAAGTAATTAGCAAAAACATAGTGCTTGGAATTTTTTACAAACGTACTGAAAATAATGATTCATAACTTTATCCATTGTGTTTCTTTTATTTTTGTGTTCCGTTGTTTGTTTCAAATTGATATATTAAAAAGAAAAGTTGAAAGCTCACAATCTATTTTCTTTTTAAGCAATGCCATGACCTCTGTTACCTCTCTCACAAAAATTCTCCTTGAAATTGACTCAAACATGAATACATAGAAACTTTTTCAATCGCTGGTTCATCGATGCATTGACCTTCATTTTTACATAAAGTTGAATTAAATGTACAAGGTCCTGAAAAAAGTTAACAATTTTCTATTAAAATATAAAATTTTTAACAAAAAGAAGCCAATCACCTTTCTAACAATCCATAGTCAATGCATTATAAATCAAAATAGGTTTACTGTTCACTGCAATATTCCTACCGTCATACTAACATATTATCAATTCATCGAAGCGCTTCGGTACAAGTCAATATGCACTATATATTCGCATTGACGCCTACCGATACCAATCCCTGGTCTGCAAGCGCATCGGCGGATTTCGATGATGATTATTTTTGTCTCAATAAAGAAACAGGAAGCAATGGAGTATATCTGAATAAATGCCAGTCTGAGTACAGTTTGATATTTCTAACTTTTGATGATGATGATGATGATGGTGAAAATCTTAACCTACATATATTTATTTATATATACGACGATTACAGTTGAAACGAAACTGATGAAAGAATCACTACTGTTTTTAAACAGCGAATGAAATATGAAAATGAACAGTCAATTATTTATTTGCTATGATTATGAAACCCATGTAATAAAAAGATGTAAACTGAGCATCTCACTTATAATGTTTCTTGCGAAAAAGTCTTCGTAATCGTATTTCTATCTATATATATTTAGATACAGCTATTTTCATTGATTTGTAACAGATTTACTTAATGGATAAACATCTTTGAACATCAATTTCTGAAGAACTAATTTACGTTTAATTTCGTTTTCCAACTATTCACAAGGATTCAAAGCATCAAATGATGTGCTATTCCAAAAAAAAGATAATGTCTTGCCAACAGTAATTGCTGGCAGCAACCACTAATAGAATTAAAAAAGAATTCACCTATACACGAATAAATGGTATGAATACCACAAATGTACACAGATGGAAGAAGGAACAGTTAGTTGTAGGAATATATGTTTTATTTTTCATAGAACACCGGTGAATTGATAATAGCATTGTAAAAATACTTCCTAATTATTATTGCGAAAACGATGTAAAAAAAACAATAACAGATTAACTTTTTATAGCTTGAATCTTTAATCTTACCACATTCTAATTGATATTCTAAAATACTAACTAAACTATAAATACTACGCTTATACATCTTTGATTCGTTGTATCTCTGTAGATATTAAAAAATTGCGTTTGATTTAGTCATGAAAATATAGTTGATTTTAGTACAAATGACATAGTTTAATGTTTCGGTGAGATACTTATATATTGATTCGCTCATTATAGTGTATTTTATTATCATTAGCCGAAAGTTCAATCTTTTCATTTACTAAAAGAGGTCGCTTGACAGGTTTATTCGTTCACTTTTTTCTTCTCTTTGCTTTCCTATTACAATATGTATACGAATGGCATTGGCAAACATTTACATTGGTATGTAGCCGTTACCATAATCAGTTCGATTCTAATTGCATTATTCAACAAAAGAAAAACGAACCTAAACTATGTTGCTAAATAACATAGCTATATGTTTTAAGTATGACTAGTGATCATTAAGAAGTGTAGTCGTTGATGACGATGCAATTCCAACATGTGTCATTCTTGATATTTCGCAAATATTAGTTCTTTATCTGAATCTGCTCTCTTGTATTAAAATGTTACATAATAATTATTAATTCTAGTCGGTACTTATATTTTTTTCGCTTCTAGGAACAAGAGAAAATTGTTTATATAACGGGCCAAATGAGAATTGCTATCAAAATTGAGTAATAGTTTTTGTAGGAACATATGCATCTAATGAAGATATGTTTTCACTATCTCATCAGCATAATGATCTTCGTCAATGTTCGTTCAATATCGTAATCTAGTGAATACGGTTCATACGATCGCTATAGTTCGATACAAATGTTATTGTTGTTTTTTACACTTGAAAAGACATTGCATGAATGGAAAGAGCCTATTCGAAAAAACAAACATCTATTCCTACTTAGAAACATTCATATAACTGCATCAAAATTTCGATCATCATCCTGAAAACAGAAGCGCTCGAGTTTTGTTTTTAGAGATATAGTTAATGAATTTTATCAGAATATTATATTTACTATTGCAAATACGAATAAAACTAAAATCATATTGATCATATTTGGATAGTATTTCCCTAAAAATTAAATGGATTTAGAAATCTCTGTAATTATTTAATGGCTGTATTTACTGATGAATAAACTACATGAAATTAGTTTGTAAAATAATTCTTTTTTGTCATACAGTTCAATTTTTCACAAGTTAAAATAAAATTCATATCAAACAAAATTGAATTAACTTTAATTAAAACGAAAGATAATCATCTTAGGAATTGAATCGATTAAAATTCTTTAAAATTTCTTCATTCTGTCTTCAATTTAATGTTGATGAATTTGCAAGTGTAATTTCAATCGATATAAATATATGTATGTAGATAAATAGATGAAGAATTACTGGTTGATTTTGCTTGCTTGAATTCAAGAAAATTACAACAACCAAAATATGACGAATTACAAACGGTAAAACATACAAAAATACTCTGGTTTACCTTAATCTTCCTGGTCAAATAATTCAAATGAGATGCATAGAATTCGTTAAAAATTGCAGAATTAGCTGTAAGCTGTGCCAAACTAATGAATTCCGTATTTACAAAGAATAATTTCTGGAATCAATATATCAAAAATTATATTTGATGAATATAAAACTACTAATACATTCTAAATGGCCACAACGAAAAGGTTAGGATCTACGATGGATAAATATCAAAAATTATATTGTTCAATGTCTTTATTTTTGTTGTAACGTTATTAATTTCTCTAAAACAAGTAATTCATCAATATACAAAAGCTATAGTCAAAGTTAATAGTCATTTGAATTATAAATACCAATTTTCTCGGTATAATATGTGAATCTGAATCTAAACGAATCAAGATAATATACCTGATGGAATCAATTCACTAATCAAACAAAAAATAATACGCTTATGAATAACAATGAGTTTATCATGTCACAAACAAAAGTTAATTTTTACTAAACTTCTCATCTGATTAAAACTAAAATATAATAAAATGCATGGTAGTCCATTTGAAAATTATGAAGTTCTTTCAAACCCTTTAGATCGATATTTTGTTTATGTTTAATACATTTTACTTTCCTGTATTAGAAAACTAGTCCTCGATTTTCAACTTTTCTTGTTGTCAGCGTGAATCCAATTATATAAGATCATGTTTTACTCTTATTATTATAATTTTTATTCCACTCTAATTTTTGATTAGCTTCATAAACACTGAAGAATAAAAAGAGAAAGAAAAAAACGGAATTACAATGATTAAAGGTTTCAATTATACATTGCTGCTTTATAGGAAGAAAATGCCAACCTAAACACATAGATTGATGACATCAATGTACGTTTTCAAGTGTACTAATAACAAGTGGGTTATAAAACAACACAAATAAAATAATAAGACCGCCACTACAAAGAGTAATATAGCTTTGTTTGTATCTATGATGATAAAATCAGAAGAAAAAAAGTTACACTAAAATCAAATGACTATTAATTTGACAGTATATATATGTATAAAGATTGACAACAGAAATAAAGAGTATCAATATCTATTTACATCCACGAGAAAAAGAAAGCAAACTGCTGAGAATAATAATATCAGATCGTAAGAGTAAACAGAAAAACATTCAAATGACAAAAAAAAATAATATAGTAAGTATGAGAATGCTGTCGACTAGGTTGTTAACTATTCACATGTATTGCATTTGTTGAAAGAAATATCTTTTGTAATTTAATAAACCCAACTAACAGGTACCCATTGGGATTCTAGACTAACTCGTTCAATAGCATGTTGTAACTGTCAAAAATAAAAAGATTAATAAAAATCTAGATAGTTCATGAAAAACTCACGTCTCGTATTGTTTCCTCAATATCATTGTTAATAATAACTAAATCAAAATAATGACCATATGCTTGTTGTAAAAGTTCACTTTCTTTTAATAATCTTTCTAAACTTTCATCCTATAGGAAAAAGAACGTAAACGTATTCAATTGTATAGAATAAACCGAACTGTGTTTTCTTACATTGACACCTTTAATTTGTGAAAGATCTGGTGCAGCAATAAAAACAACATAAGGTGCAAATTCAGCTGTACGTAAAACTTTTAATGCTTGTGGTTCAACGTCAAGTACTCCCATTAGACTTTGCCGATTAATATTACGTATTGTTTCAAGTTTTGTTCCATACATGGCATCATCGTGTGTACCATATTCTAGATATTCATTATTAGCTATATCACGCATCATTTCTTCATGTGTGACAAAGTAATAGTTTTTTCCATTTTCTTCATCTTTTTTCGGTAATCTCGTTGTATCTAAATAAAAAGCAAAGATGTCTAATGCGTAGAAAAAAAATGAGATAAATAAATAACTAGCTATATACATACGTGGTATTGGATAAGCAAAATGTTTTGGTTGACTTGTGATTAATGTATTTTTAATATGTCGCCGACCAACACCATGTGCACCTACAAGAATAAAATAAATAGAAACATTTCGATGAGAGAAAACATTACCAAGTAACACGAGAGTTTTTCGGCGAAATTCAGGTAATCGTATTACTTCTTCATAAGTGACCAAATCAAGTTGATCAAATACAGCATTATGTTTTGCTAAATATTTATCTCTCATTACTTTACGTTTTCGTCCAAATACACCGCAATTAGCTAAAACAAAGTATTAGAAAGAAATTAATAGCTGATCTTTTTGAATATTTCATTTTTCCGCAGTTTTCAACTTTCGAGAGTACAACGAAAGTCGCTGCAGACTGACAAATATATTTTATGGATACGATAAGTGTGATAGAACTTAGCAGATGAGCTCTTTGTCTATGATAAAAAGAAGACCAATCCTCGTGTTGTACATCTGCAGATAGAGTAGTTGAAATCAATTTTCGATCAAATGTAACGTAGTATATATCATAAAGATGAGGGGGAAATCTCGAATTTAGGAAATCGTTTAAAATAAATGTCATCAGGAGGAAAGGATTGCCAAAAACAAGTAGGCAAATGCATTCATTGAAATGGAAGAACATTTTCATTATTCATTCTCATACACAATCATTCTGAAGCTAAAATTCTTTGATTGCACTGTCTAGATATCAATCGCAAAGTCAAATGATAAATTATTGATTTCCAACAATTTTTCCTCGAAGAAAGATAAGAAAATCACATATTGTTCAGAATTCGAGATAACCAGAATTTTTTAATTATTTCAGCCGAAATTAATTCTACAGATAGTTTACTCGATTTCGAGATTCGTTCATGAGAAGAGTTTCGAGTCAAAAATATGTCAGTTAAGTTTTCTATCAATATGTCATAAAGGATCGAAAAGCCTACGACACCGAGTTAATTCTAGAACGTCGTATTGAGACGATTGTTTTCAAAGATATTCTAGACACAGTCAACTCTACATAGAAGCTTAATATGAATATTCTTTTGTTACAAAAAATGGGTATGAAAGTAATATATAATTAAACTTTAAGATTGAAAACCAAACCATTTTATCGGTAATATCAATAACACATGGTTAGCTTTTATTTATCATTAGAAGCATTTGTATTTTTCTCTATTTATACGTTAGATTGACAACAGATAACTGTGAAGTTCGAATCGAATGTAACATTTTTTCTCGTCAGCATAAAAATTCCAATCTATGACAATCGAGAATTTAATAATATCCTCTGCTTACTAAACGGAATTCACTAATCCCAACGAGTATCACTGAAGAAGAAAATATTAAATTTTCTCACCATTTCCATCTCTTGCTTGTTCAATGGCATTCGTTGCAATTCTCCATTCTTGTAGTTCAGGCGATGGTATTAAACCCGCAGGCGAATTATCATAAGTTCCATAATAATCATTTATGATTGATTCATCGATATTCTTTGATGGAATTATTTTTTTACCTTGCCACCAATTATGATCATCTTTTGAAATAATCTGTAATATGTCTCCTATTGAAAATTTAATACCAGCTTGTGCACACGGAATTAAATCATCATCTTTTGGATCATAATTAAATAAAGCTTTAACATAAATCTAAATTTGATAAACGCTTCAATATAAAAACAAAAGCGACACATAAATAGAAATAATTATACATCACAAGGTGGTGGCTGACTTCGATAGCTGGGTATAATTTTAAATGTAATGCTACCACGAGCATCTCTCTAAATAAAAAAGAAATAATTTAAATTTATAAAATGTTTGGATTCTAGTAATTAAATAGAAAAATACCAGCATTTGTTGTAAATATTGTATTGGATGATTTGAAACGGGTTTTCCATTAATTTCTTTAATTTCATCGCCCACGTGTAATGTACCTTGTCGATGTATCATACCACCATTAAGTATACGTGATACTACGCATCGTTTGTTTTCTGTCATACGAAGTGTAATACCCTGAAGAAAAATCAAAAATCAAAAATTTTGTATTTTATGTTTTGTTTAAATAAATTTTTATTGTTTATAATAATTACCAATGGTTCATCAGTATTTCTTTGAAATTGAACAAGTCGAACACGTGTCACATCACATAGTTCATCACTTACACCATCGCCACGATTATCATTTAATTCATTTCCATTGTGACCATTATAGTCATTATCAATATTACGCTCTGTTGGCAATGTATTATGACCTAAGTAGGATGATGTAACACGTATCGCACCATCACCATAAACTTCTTGGGCAACAACATCATGCGTTTGTAGAAGAGCCTATAAGAAAATATCAGCATCTGTTTTTTTTGTATTATTACAATAATCATGGATCTATTTTAATATAAAATCAGCACGATGAGTAGCAGTGCTCAGTAAAGACCTATTAACTGTAATCCACATGGTAATATCTGCCGTACTGGCTACATGGAAAAAGTCCATCGATGATAAGGCTTTCTTGAAGATAGACGCACATAACAAGTGTTGCAAATGGATAGGGAGAGAGAGAGAGAGAGAGGGCGTCTAAGTGAATCATGCTCCGATCGAACATAAATAATTGACAGCATCAATGAGTTTGTTTGATGTTGCAATTCAATCATATGGATGCAAAAAAATAGTTTACCTTTTTAGCGATATACTTTATTTTCTTTCTTGTTTGTCTCTGAACGATGTGACAACTAAACCAACGAGAAATTCTTCAAAGAAAATCGTCGTTTTCATTCCTAGATTTCTCTTTCATTCTACATAAAATATAATAATAATATACGTATATATTATTAATCTATATCGATACGTATTTCTTGTATTTAAATATTCTTTTCGCTCCTTTTAGAAATTTTCACAAGTAAATAAAAAAGTATTTTTCTACATGAATCAAACTTTATGTGAATGGTTTTTCTATCAGCAATGATAATTTATTTCATGTTGCACATCAACTTACAATTGAATCACTCATGTTTTTAATAGTTTCAACATAGCGATCTAGTTGTATCTCAAAATTTTTATGACTCAAGAAAAAAAAATACATTTAATTACATGAAATATTTCTTCTAATTATTTTTACAGAAAATCAAATAGCTATTAACTTCTGTTATTCTAGATTATGACACTACTTGCTGATAGGGATTAATCATCGATGATAAAAGAAATTGAATAATACTCTTCCAAGTAAAAAATAAACACAAGTATTTTTATTCTATCGATATATCTGTTTTTTTTATACATACCATTATTTAATACATATGTTTATTCTAAATAAAAGACCGCCTATTTATTGATATATCTTAAGAACCAATAATACAATGACGACTTTTTTTGCTAACAAAGAATAATATTAGTTCTATGCACTTCTTTCCTTCGCTGTCGTGTTCGCAATGTTTCTGCTTGTCATCGAGCATCTTCCTTGTTGTGCCTTTTTTTGCTTTTTCTCAAACACTCGAGACAGTGGGTGTCTGTTAATCATTTCTATGTTATCACAAATACATTAGAGGAACGGATGAGTTCGATTGATCCCGATGGCTGTAGTAAAATTATTTAATTCAATCGATATATTTCTATCCAATTCAATTCTTTTTCATCGCTGTTTAAATCCTTAAGGAACAACTGAAACTCGGCAAAAGAAAAAAAACTAACAACAAAGTGAAATTTCTTACTTGTTTTATATGTTCAAGTGCACAATAGATTCTTAAACTATGTTCATCCATTGTACACACAAGAATATTAATAACGATGGCAGAATTAATAGCAATAATAATAACAAGTAACATAATTCTCAATAAGAACTAAGTCCTATATGGACAGAAGAATAATATATATATATATATATATATATGAAAATATGTTCAACTAGTGAGAGTCATCGAGCAACGGCAGCATGTTCATTTGATGTCTTTTTCAAGACAACTACTCAATGTTGTCGATCATCACCAACACATACATATTACCATAATAGAAGATAATCAAGAGAGGCATCGAACGATGAGAAACAGAAGAAAAAAAACTGAGAAACGCGAGATAAAAATATAGAACAAGAACAAGAAGAAAAGCAAACGATCAAATTCCAATCATCTTTCTGTCTTGTATATAGTTCATTTCATTTAACAACGTAATATAAACATGATGAACTATTTTCTCAAGTCAGAAAATAAATAAATTTATACCTGTATGTGAGGTTCAAGTAAAATATCAAGTAGATCATGAGCATATGTTGATGCATGTTGACAAGAGCCTTGTTCAATTGTTGTTATTATATCGGAAGTTATTTGTACAGCGATGGATTCAGGAGTACTATATGGACGAATTTCATCCGAATTAATATGATCATATAGCTAATCAAGAGGAAATAAACTATTCATTTAAAATTAAAATAACACATGATTTGCTTTACTTCGAGTAAAGTTCGTAATTGTTTATCTTCAAATAGTTTTTGTAAAAAATCAAGTTCAACATGATCGCCAATAGTTAACCATTGAGTATCTTCTAATGAATCAAGTATTTGAGAAACAGCTAAATATAAAAGCATGATAGATCATACGTTTATAGATATATGTATATTTTTTGTTCAATATTTATATTAACAAGCAAACGAAGAAGAAACGCTCTAAGCGATAATAGACATAATCATTTTAGATGGCAGAAAATGTAATATGTTCTTTTAGATAAGTGTAAAATGATGCTAATAGCGATGGCATCTGATCATATGAATATATATATCGTACATCAATAGAGAAATGATCATTTTGTCATATATTTAACTATTAGAAATATCCTTCACAAGTCAAGGTAAGCTTTATTTTCATAGAAAAAAGTTATATTTCTAATTATAATTCTTTCAATACAATTACTATACGTTAAAGATTTGAAATGAAATTAATATTGTTTTATTATAAAGCATTTAAGTTTTGAAAAGGATATACTTCGACATGAAAATTAATATGTATATAATTATCAAGAAAGGCAAATGTTATATGTAATGTATCATGACATGGTCATTGATAAACGAAAGATACTCTGTCAGCTTTCGAGTCTGTTTTTTTTGACAGTTACTAATTAATATTTACTACTGTGAAAGGATCGATACGAATTTTCAGATTGTATTTCAACAATCACTATTAAAAGTGTTTCAAACTGGACACACATATAGATAGTCTATAAATTTCAGTCATAAAATAGAAATTACGATTGATTCGTATCATTTGACTATAAAAAAAATAGCTAGAAACAGTCTCAAAGGAAACAATTGACTCTATGAACCAATCGATTGAAACGATATTGTTTGTTCAGTACAGATTCCATCATCCATGCACTGAAAGAAAAAGTTCAGATAGACATATATGTAACTCATCCTAAGTTATTATCATCATCATCATCGTCGGTTGAGAGTCAGAAAGTATATCAGATATCTAGAAATCACACTTATTTACAACTTCTCAAATATGTCTAACGGATATCTAGTATACATAACACACTTACTTTTTATTACTTTCGTTTCGACAGTATTAAGATGCTGTACAGCAGTTGAAACCATAGTATTTCAATAGAGAGCACACTAGTTGAGTCTTTTTAAACAACAATCATATTAGGATACAATCGTTTTATTATTCATTTAGATTAATACGAGCTTAATTAGCAACCGACGTAGGCGTCACTGCTAAATTGATGAATGGACGACTTCTGTATGACCATCCATCAAGAGTAATAATTTGACAAGTCATATATGTTGATGTAATAAGGTTTTGTTTACTCAAGTCCCTCTGCTCTCTTCTTCAATACCAACGTCCTCACTATTAATCAATTTCTGATGATCACTTTTGTATTTTTTAAAACAAAATACATTTGATCAATTATGTAAGTTACTGAATTGAATAACAGAAATAAATACTATGATTTTCTTACAGTAGGACATCAACTTTGAAATTAGCGACTATTCATAAATATTGGTTAGTAGTAATAAATATGTTTTTATTTTGTAATGCAAATCATCTATTTTAATTTAATACATATGTTTACAATCGCATTTAAAATGATTTACTAATTTATCGAAAACAAAATTACTTTGTATTTTTTGAGTACTAAGAAAATCTCAATAGTTTTGAGCTTCAACGCCGAACAGTTACAAAATGTCAATCATAAATAACAGGATTATAGAATTGCATTTTATTTTCTTGGCATTGTAGATATATATATATACTGTAGAAGATGGAATTAAAAATATTCGAAAGTTCTTGATTTTATTCACAGGAAATCTTCATTCTTGAAGTTAATTTTTTTTTGTTGGATGTGAACTTTAAAGTATATTCAATAAAAGGTGGAAATTGACTACTGTGCTATGATGGCTGATTGAAAAGTCATGATGGATATGAAAACTGAAAATATTTACATTGAAATTATATTATTGATCAATCATGAATAAATGTTCGTGATTTTTATCAGTACGAGAAATATCAACTAGACTTCTGCTGAAATATTACGAAAAGACTTCATATAGATTTGCAGTGCTAAATGAGTTTCAGAAATTCTATCCAATGCTTTTTAAAATCACAATTGATTCTCTAAGTTAGCCTGAGATTGCTAACATAAGCACATATACATCTTGTCAATTGGTCCCTTTGAAAGTTTCATAAAAGAAACACTAGTTTCGTTTTCTTTGTTGAGAATAGATTTCATATAATCTCATACGCGTTTCATCTATATACGTAGTAATTATCTTTCTATTCTCATTTTTATACGTGCAATTGTTGTGTAATGTTAGTTGTGCATTGAATTAGTTTACAAATGAAAAAGACTGAAGTATTGAAGTAGTATTTAGCGAACTTTGAATGTACTTAATACAAAATAATGAGGTAAGGATTAAGATAAATGACGATTATAAATCAAAGTGACTTGATGAGAGTTTTCCATATAGGTCTATGAATAGAACAGATATCTATGTGATAAATTCTAGACTCGGTTGCTATTGACAATGCTGATCTTGAAAATAGTTTTGTTGGTGCTTATCTCATTGATAAAAACCACGAAGAGTAACTCGTTAACGATGAAAGAAATCAATTCATTTCATATTTTCAGCAACTTTTCACCTATAGTATAACTTTAAAATAATGAAGATATCTATTCCATCAAATCCATCATTCTGTTATAAACAGATGACATTTAAACTGAAAAACAAAAGGTCTAGTCTATCTAACAATTGAAAAATACAAAGTTATACAGTTTTCTATGGACGAGTGAGTTATTTCAGTAGTGTCTTTAACTGCATACGTAATTCTAGCTAACAAGGGAAAAGAATAATTTATAATTAGCTACATGTGCAAGTAATTGCCTGTCTAAGATAAAACAGAAAAGAAAAAGCTCACCAGATGATGCCACATCGTCAAAATCATTTGTAGATGATGTTGATGATATCTGTGCTGTCATGTACGGTAATGAATTTGTCGTTGTCATTGATGAATGAATTGGTATTTGAGACCAACGAGGACTTGAAACAGCTGCTAAGATTGCACCCTAAATTTGAAAAAGAAATTTTGTTTTCTACTTTTAAATGAATTTTATCAAGAAATGTTACTTTTAATTGTCGTCGCGCATTAAATTTGCGAAGTTCTTCAACTGTCTCAGGTAGATGTTTTCTTAATGCAAATTTCTCGCGTTCCTTTAAATAAAATTAAAATAATTATTATCAATAGATCTGATTCTAATTCTAAATTAAGTTGACATTCGTGTATCACTTTTTCTGAGTTTCTCATAAAATTACCGTAATAGTTTGTTTTTTCTATCTGTTTCTTCTTGTCACAACAAACTTTTAAATCATCTGTTTTAGACAGTAAACAATATTTTCTGCCTAGGATATTTTCATGAATAATAATAACTATGTTATAGTTCGCTTAGACATTCATGAAACTTTTCTATGGCTATAAAAATAGATGAATGTAAATCCAGCATTGATGATTGTTATGCTTCACAGAAAGAAAGAACAGAAGACATTATACAACATGAATAGTTAAGCGGGTTTTTATCTTCAATTATTTCTTTCCAAGCTCAAATCTGATTGGTGAAATGGCAAAGTAAACTGAAAAATTCTTTACCAAGAGAGAAAATTAATTTAGTCTATAAAACTTACTCGAATCCACGGATGTGCAAGAGCTTCTTTAATCGTAATTCTTTCATTTTGATTTAAACATAATAGACGTGTACAAAGATCTTTAGCTGATTCAGATATTTGATCCCATTGTCGATTTTGCATCTAGGAAAAATTATTTTCTCACTTATTTATCAATGTTATTTATCGAATTATCACATACATTAAAAACACCGCTTGAAATCATGTCGAAAACACGAACTTTTGTACCAGCAAATGGTAATGTACCCGTTAACAGAACATATAACATAACACCTAATGCCCACATATCAACTGGTCGACCAAAACCTGGTGACTCTCGATTAACTACTTCTGGCGCCATAAAAGCTGGTGTACCAATGCGACTAGCTTGTATTAAACCAGATTCTGGTAATTGTAATGCAACCCCAAAGCCACCTAATTTAACAGGTGCCGCATTTTCTTTTGAAGATAATAAGACACAATGCGGTTTTAAATCACGATGAATTATTCCACGATCATGAATATAACGAACAGCTTCAAATATTTGACGCATATAATGACTATAAGTCAAAAAATGAAAGGTATGTTCAAAAACAAAACAAAAAAAGGTTAACACATATCTAATTAGATAATTACCTAGCTACTGCTTCGCTGTATACAAAACCTGCAAGAGCTCGTTTTTCTATTTCGAAACACAAGTCTGCACCATCCATACTAAAATTAAAAACATTAAAACAATCTAGGTAGAGATTTTCTAAAAATGTATCATTTTCAAAGGATGTAAGACTGCATAGAATAATTCAACAAACTTAGATATGTGTACTAGAGAGAGTCGAGTTCAATTGTTTCAATGATAGAAGATAATATTTTTCGATGCTTTAGAATAGATGTCTAGATAATGTCGATTCTTAGTTTGCAGTTTTAGTGTAATAACTGAATAATCAGTAATCAATGAAGAAGCAACTAGCTAAAGCGAGATCCACGTAAGTTCAGAGACTAATTGAAACTATACATCACTAAGTAAAATTTCTAGAACGAACCGATTATCATTCAACTGTAATATCTGAAGTAATTATTTGAATAATTCAGACAACAATTTGAATATTCAATTTTACCATGATACAACATGATACTTAGTAAAATAATTATTGAGCATGTGTATTTGTTGCTTAATTAAGAATATCGTTTCTTAGAACATTTCAGATAAACTCAAGATCTCTGGATCATTTTATTTTTGTTTACTACAGACAATACATACAGACAGAAAGGTCATACTTTTCAATGGATCATTAGTTATTTCAAGAAACAAGAAAATTATCGTTAATGAGATTGAAATAGCTAAATACATCGAAGATAAATGAGAACCTATATTATTGTACAACTTCATCGTAGCAAGTCTTGCTACGAAATTCAAGATGACTCGACTAGATTCAATTTTAAGAAAAAGTATTAAGTTTGAACAAACAACGAAAACATTTTTCAAATAGGATATATTCTTCTTTTTTTTTATTAAGTCTTTTTCTGATTTCGAAAGGATTCTGTTTTATCATAAAAATTCATTTCTAATCAATCAAGAGACTCATTAATAAGTAAAAAAAAAGTAAGTTTCAGTTTCAATGAGTATATAAAGAATGAAAATGTCTGTTAAAAAACAATAATTGCATGTAGCGGAAGTTGATATTTTAAATTGAATTAGCATTCATGCCGAGATAACTAAGTTTTCAAGGTTACTCATTTTTTTATTTTTTTTCTCAATCTACCATTAACTTTCGGAAAAAGATCCACTGTAAGTTCATTTAAAATCTTCTCGTCAGACTACTATTTCCTTTTGTCTACCTAACGAAGCGATCTTTGATTTTACTGCTTTTAGATAACGTAAATTTATATTATAAAGTCATCCATCCTTCTAATTCATTTATCTATCAAAAGAAATATTCATGCGTCAATGAGTACATGTTTACATACTATTCGAAAACCATAAAAAGACATCCTTCTAGTTCAAATGTTTCATATAATTCAACAATATGTGGATGTTTAAGACTGGAACAAATTGTTGCTTCACGTCTTAAATCTAAATATGCAATTAGTGATTTTTTTTAAACGAGTCATAAAGTCAAATGTTTACCATCAGCAGAAAATCCTGGTGTTGTAGTGAATTGTTCAACATCAATTATCTTAACTGCATATTGTTTATCGCTTGTTTTGTTCGTGCAGCGACGAACTACACTAAATGGACCCCTTGAAAAAGAAGAAAAAGAAAAAGTAACGAGATAAAAGCGAATAAAAACTTCAAACACAATATATTTCCTTACTTTCCAATAATTTCATAAAGATTATATAAATCAGAAAAGCATACTGATGATTGTTCATCGTTATTAGATACTGTTGTTCTCGTTTCTATATGCATACTATGAATTGATCGATGTTCATTATTAGTAACTAAAAGAAAGACAAGAAAGTCTGCTTTTCAGTTTTTTTTCCTATAATAAAGATGACTGAATGAATAGCAAAGTGAGTTCGACAAGAATGGCATAATGAACTAGTTCAGGGTAAAAAAGACTAATTAAGCTAATTTGATTGCATTTCCTATCGTCCGAACATGACAGGACCGAAGAAGTAGAAGTGCAGCGACAGCAATAACAATTAGCCCTAACCAATAAGAACGAGAGAAAAATGTTAATAAATAAACAATATTTCATATTTGGTCGGCATGCCAATCAATCAAAATTGATTAAGAAAATTTTTTTTCGCTGATTAAAACTACTGCAACAATGAATAATATTATATATTTGATAATAACAAATTATATATACTCTGACATTTTTTAAAAATATAACCCGTTTAGATACGACCTCTTTCGAATGACATGTCTCTATAGAAAAACGGATCATTCATTCCAATTAAAAACTGATAATTTTTCTATTTCAATATATATATATATATATATGTATAAGATTTTCCTCATGTTGTTGTTGTTTGAAATGTCATTGTGAATAATAAGCGATCGATCAGTCACTGGGCGCACGATCAGCACGATCGACATGTGTGTGTAGAACAAGAATCACATGTTTTGTTTGCTTTCTTCTTCGCTACAGTATTCTGTCTGTTAGAAGATGTTTTTTTAGTATTGATAGTCAACAAGCTTTTATTTTCTTATACTAACAATCAAAGTCTTTCTAATCCTAACTAAGTATTTTATCTTATATTTTTCTATTTAGGTACTCAATATCTTTTGTTTCTAGATTAATCTATAGTTCTAAATCTTCGATCTCTTATATTTTCTGAAAATGTGTTCACCATCACCTGGAAAACGTCGAATCGATACAGATGTTATTAAACTGTCAGTATCTATAAATAAATAAATTCCCTTTTCTTGCTTTTCTTCTAATTGCAATTTACTTTCTATTAGTCTTGAATCAAATCATCAAGTGACAATTATGTCAGGTCTTAATGAATTTATGGTTAAATTTGCCGGACCACGTGACAGTAAATATCCGTTTAAGAGAGTAAATTTTCTAAGAATCGTTTTCTTTCAGCTGAATATGAAGGTGGTATATGGAATATTCGAGTTGATCTATCCGATAGATATCCTTTTAAATCTCCATCAATCGGTATGTGAAAAGATACTTAATATAAACATATTTATGAATTTGATTAAAACAAAAAAAGAGTCAATCAAATCGATCAGATTCATTTTAGATTAAATCTAATACTTATGAGAAAGAATAACCTGTAAAATAATTCAATATTTTGAAGGCATCAATTGAGTGATATTAATGGGCTTTGAACTTACACCTAGAAATACATTATTAAAAAATGGCATCATAGTACTAGATTCTATTATTTCTATACATCTAGAATATTCTAGAAAAGAAAATGATGGTTTTCAGAGCTCATCGTAGTTAAAATTTCATAGTTACTTGATATGTCCATCGTAGAGATCTATTATGAAAACATTGAAACCACCAAATATATGCTATAGATTTCATTAATGCTTTTTTTAATATGTTTATACAGGTTTCATGAATCGTATATTTCATCCAAACATCGATGAGATGTAAGTAATAACATCTTGTTTTAAATGGATGTTTGTTTGAATAATGCAATAGGTCCGGCACTGTTTGTCTTGATGTAATCAATCAAACATGGACTCCAATGTACGGTATGTATATAGCAACATTATTTATTTATAGTACTCTTTAATTCAAGTGACATTCAACTAACTGACTTTCTTTTTTTCTATTGCATAAAAATAGATCTAACGAATATATTTGAATCATTTCTTCCACAATTACTTGCTTATCCAAATCCGGTGGATCCGTTAAATGGTGATGCCGCAGCTTTGTATCTACACAAACCAGACGACTATAAGAAAAAAGTTCGAGGTTTGTTGAAGAAAAGCAACAAACATTTATTTATTTAAATAATCATCGATTATTTTTTCTCCTTGACTAAATAGAATATGTGCAACGTTTTGCTACCGCTGATATGGCTGATGGTTTATCGGCGACATGCGATGGGCAATCATCATCAGAACATCAGACAAATGGTTTAAATAGCTCAAATCAAACAAATAAAAACGAATCAGATGATGAAATATTAAGTGATTTTAGTGAAGATGAAGCTGCTGATATGGATTTAGAATAAACTATCTACGCATATGTTTTCGTTCTATCTCTACATGTGTTGCAGTATATACGTAGACTTACTTCACATTTTATTCTTATTTCTTTTGAATTTTTTCCTAGTTGTATCATTGCGTCCTCGAAGAACATCAGGTGATCGAAAGAGGATTTTTTTGTTTTCTGTATGTCAATATTCTTGTACGCGTCCAGAGACTCCTACGCAGTATTCTATTTTTTCTTTCTTTTTGGCGATGGACACAACCGTTTGCTCAGGTTCTATTTGATGAACTTCCTTTTGGCTTCTATGTTTGCTGAACAGTTTTTTTAATCAATATTCACTGCTTTTGTTTACATTACTATATATTAAATTAAGATCGCCATAATACATTGTGTTTCTGCTCTTTTCCTAAGATTACGCGAAAAATAAAAAAAAGCATGTATACTAACATCATTAAATTAAATATAAGTCGTTTATGATGAATATTGTTATCATTTGAAATGAAACTAATTTGATTCAACTGTGCCATAGCAGAAGTACTATTAGAAATTAGTTTTTATCAACCCTAGTGTCACAGATGATCGTTCGTTAGACATTTAACTACACTCAATCATGCTTAGCGAATGCAATAGATTTGAACAAGGAAACCAACATTGACTGAAATCCAGAAGGATTGCTACGATTGTACTCTGTGACGATACATAATGAATTTTGATCTTCTCCACGTAGAGATGTTACAGTTGACATGAGAATTTAGTTGCGATTGGAATAATAGATTTAATTAAAGATAGAAAAAATAGACACAAAAGAGAGCGAAGAAAAGAAAAGAAGAAAAGAATTTCGAAAATCAAAATGCAAATAAAATTATATGAACGATATGGAAATTTTTTTCTATGAGTTAGATTTAGCAAACTATTTTCTAATTGATCATAATTTAGATTTCTTTTTTAAATTGGT